AGGTGTGTAGTACAGTGGTTCTCGTCGTTGGCTGTGCCTTAGAACCACCTGGGGAAACATCTTAAATTCTGCATTTAAGAAGCCACATAGCTTGGGTCACACCACAGACCTATAAAATTAGAATTTTGGGAATGGGATCCAGGCATCCGTGTTCTTTGGAACTCTCCAAATTGATAGAGTAGCATCAAAGGAGACAGAAGCATTTGGCAGGCAGAAATGAGAATAGGGTACGTCTCATTAAAGCTGCCAAAAAGAGAGGAGAAACTCATGAGGGAGCCTAAGAAGTTCCCAGATGATAGGAGAACCTGGAGAGAAAAGGGATTATGGGTGTTCTGGGTGGAGAGGTCAAGAAGAAAAGAGTGAGACCCCTCTCTACGTAATCTTCAGTCACTTCCTAAAATGACCCTTACCTAATCTGTTTGCTATTTCCATCATTTAACTCCATAGATACCCATCTGCATCTCTACTCAAACTACTCCCATACCCAGGCACCCTGCCCCTTTCCAGGGTGCCAGTCCATGTCCATTCCATATTTAAGACTTGGCTCAAAGCTCGTCCTCCAAAGAACATCTGGCTCCTTTGACCAGATTCTGATGACTCCTATTTAGGTAGGCCCTTGTGCATGTAGTTGCTTGCTAATGATGGCCCTGCTGTGGAGCAGTGCCAAGAGTCCAGGACTCAGACTCTGGAGATCTGGGTTCAGATTCCGACTCTGTATAAGTTAATTAGCTGGACCCTGTTGGAGAAGTTGTTAAAGCTCATCGGTTTCTTTGCCTGTAAGGTATTCATGGCTGTAACTACTTTGAAGGGTTGAAATAAGATTTGTGTGCGAGACTATAAAAAAACCATACATGTGGTATGGCATAGGGTGATATTATTAAGTTTTACACTTGTCCAAAGGTTGCTTTGCAAGCACCCCAAAGTGTGTGTGTGTGTGTGTGTGTGTGTGTTTGATTTTTAACTGGATTATAAACTTGAAGACAGAAACTGTGTTTTGTTTCTTTTCAAACCCCTTTTAGCTTTGGGGGCTGTGGTGGTTCTCAGGCAGCCACACAACATTTGGGAGCTGGGGTGGGGGTGAGGGGTGGTTAACCAAGTGCAGCAACCTTAAAGATGTTGCTCCCAGGGGGACAGGACTACTGGAGCTTTGAGCAGGACCAAGAGTCACATGACAGCCTGCACTTCTATGTCATTTGAATTGCTATCACCTAGTCAAGATCTGTAGGCTGCAGACACATGTGCAGTAAATGGGAAAGGCCTGAGGCAAAGCCATCTGATGGCTCTGCAGATTGCTCCGAGGAAAATCCCAAATCCTCAAGCCTATCAGGCTTTGCATGCCGTGAGTGTGAAGAGAGACCTCTCTGACCTTGTCTCCTGTGACTCACTCCCCACCCCCTTTGCTCATTTGTATCCACTCATCTCTTTACTATTTCTTGAATATGCGGCTTTAGAGCCTGCGCAGGTGCTCTGCCTTCTTCCCGAAATGCTCTTCTTTAGATGTTCATTGGTTCCCCCCCCTTTATCTTCTTTGGGTCTTTGTTCCAATGTTACTTTCTCAGGAGACCCACCCTGACAACCTTATTTCATTTTCGTGACCCTCAGCATTTATCTTCCTTCGTTGATTTTTTTTTTCGGTAGCACCTGTTATATTCTGATATGTATTTTACTTATTTATTCCCTCTTGTCTTTCCAAGGACCATTTTTTTTGGTCTATGTTTTTTAAACTGCTCTATCCCTGGTGTCTAGATCTCAAAACGCGTTCATTCGCAACAGCCTTGGTAATTTTCTGGATCTAAAGACAAAGGGAATCCAGTGGTCAGTAGATGGCGCTAAAGCTCCATATGACCTTTTTCTCCAGTTGGCTTCCAAGGTGTTTTTCAGTCTCTGGAATATTTACTGTGCTAAATAAATTAGCCTGGTTGATTCACCTAGACATTTAGTTATACAACCATAGCATTATGACTTGAAGGAGACATTATCGATTGTATTGTGCTAATTACTCATTTTAAGGATGAGAAAACTAGAGCTCAGCAAGGGATCAAAAATCACCTAAAGTCATATAAGGCATTAGCAGCAGAGCCAAGACAAGAACTCCTTCCTGACCCCCTCCCTCTCTTAAACTGTTGTTATATGTTTAGTTGTGTTCTTAGCTTGCTTCCCTCTCGAAAATACAAGTCGCTTGTATGCAAAATGCAATAAGAGATTGTGTTTTGCAGTAAATATTCAGTCAATAAATATTCCATTCAAATTTGGTTCCAACTGCTTGAGTAAGTCTCATAATGAATTAGCCCACAATAATGGCCGTAAATCCATTTGTGCTGGGTACTCAAAGAAATAGGAGACTCATCAGGTTCTTAATGACCTTATCGCTTCTAGGGAAAGGATGCACGGCATAATTGAAACAACAGGAGAACACGTATTTATACTGCTATCAGAAGGCAGAATGCACACTGGGAAATTCGAGCATATGGAGCTCAACAGAGCACTGAGGGAGGATTGAAGGAGGTAAGTTTGGAACTGGCCTTTCAAGAGTCAGATGCTATGAATTTTTACAATAAGGACCAACTCCAAACTATACAGCAAGCCATGATATGAGACATTCGTATTAAGCCTTGGGGTATTTTATCATATTCATGATACTTGATACAGAATCTATCAGACCAAGAGCAGCCACTAGTTTTGATTCAGAGGGTATAGTGGCAAAGGAGAGAAACAAAATCCTTATTGTTGTGGACCTTAACCTCCAGTAGGGGGCAGAAGACAATGAACAAATAACAAAAACAAGATATCAAATATGAAAAATGCTAAGAACAATATACAAGAGAAATATGTGTGAGAAAGTGATTGGGGCATAATCTTAGATTAAATGTTAGAGAAGCTTCTTTGGTGAGGTGACTTTTTAGCTGATACCTCAATGAAATAAGGAGCTAGTCACAAAAAGATCAGGGAACTAAAACCGGTTTGGCTCAGTGGATACAGCGTCAAACTGACTGAAGAATCCCAGGTTTGATTCTGGTCAAGGGCATGTACCTTGGTTGCGGGCACATCCCTGGTAGGGGGTGTGCAGGAGGCAGCTGGTTGATGTCTTTCTCTTATCGATGTTTCTAACACTCTATCTCCCTTCCTCTCTGTAAAAAACCAATAAAAAATATTAAAAGATCAGGAAGAAGAATATTCCAGATAGAGGATATAGCTATTTCAAGGCCTTGAGATGGTAAACAGTGACTGAAGAGAAGAGGTACAAGATGAGGTCTGGCAGGGCCCCATCCTAGGAAGGCCCTGGGAGAATGTTAAATTTTATACTCAGTATGGTGGAAAACTACCAAGCATTTTAATCAGGGAAATATATGTCCTGACCCAGGGTTGAATCTGCAAACTTGGCATATCAGGACGAAGGGAAGTGACATGATATGTGAAATTGCAAAGGAGTAAGGAGACCCATCAGGAAGCTATTGCTGCATTAAGAGGGAGATGTGGTGATGGGGGTGATAGGAGCAAAGATGGCAAGAATGATGGAGTTGAGCTATACTGTATTTTAATAGAAACAAGAGGACTTGCTAATGAGTTTGGTTTGGGTCGGAAGAGAATGATTACAATAAATACTATCTCCTACGTTTTTGTTTGAGCAATGTGGATGATGCTACTAACTTACTGAAATGGAGAAAATTGAGGGAGAAATAGGTTAAGTCAAGAGCTCTATTGGAGAATGCTAAGATGGAGATATTATTTCATGTCCAAATGAAATGGCAAGTAGATGATTAGATATATGAGTCTGTAGTTTAGGAAAGAGGTGGGGTTGGAGATGAAGATTTAAGAACCTTAGAAATAGTGATGATAGTAAAAGTCACTGGATAAGATTACCTATGGTTAGGAAAGAGGAGAAGGCAACTGGGGAGTGATTACCAAGGGGATGAAAGTTGGGCTGCAGTGAAATAAAGATCAGTTTTCTGTAAGGAAATAATGTCTTTCTGATTTAGATTATTTGGAGAAAGCATTGTGAATTAGCCTCATAGTATGTGTGACTTTTTTCAGAGTTTGGGAATAGAGACAGCATTTAAGAGTAATGGCCTTCTGTTTGGACTTTTCAATTGAGGAAATTTGGAATATTGTTCTGTGGCTTAGGTTCAGAGAGCTGCTTGCTCCCCCCCTCCTCCCCTTCCCCCTCCCAGCTGCAGAGCCACTCCTGATCAGCCTGTGTCACATTAGGACGCTCCCCTCCCTCCTTTCACACCCTTCTTGAGGGTGGACTCCCCCCTTTCTGGTCATTGGCTTTTGACCTTAGAGGTGATGTGTTAACTTTATTCTCAAGTCACTGAAGAGAAGGGAGATTAAGGCAGTGGAAATGGAGAAATGGGAAGAGATTCAAGAGGTACAGAGGATAGAGAATTGGCATGACTTAATGATCATTTGAATGTGTTAAGTGAATGAAGGGAAAGAATCAAATTTGACTGCAGGGGAAGGAGTTGTAAATAAGTGCCTTTTGACTTCTTTTTCCATATTTCCTATTGATTTTTATTTTTTTTCAGTGTCCCGGGAACTCCAAGAACAAAATTATCTTAGAAGTCAAGAAATTAGGCCTTGTTCTTGGAGAATGGCCCACAAGTGAAGCTAGCATAGCCCCACAGTGAAGGAGAAAAAAAGAGTTATCGAGGTCATTGCTCATCAATTATTTATTGGGCATTTAAATACAATTCCATAGATTTTCTTGTGAATGGTTTTCAGGCCCCAGTATCTTTGGGTCAACAATTTTGGTTGACTAGGATCTGAAAACAGATGACATATGCTTCCTTTCTATTTAATATGATCAGAAACTAGAATGGTATTGAGCTAAAGCCAGTCTAGTCAGCTTTAGTGCTAGGAGCCAGGACAGTCCCTCTGATGAAGGGTAGATGCCTGGGCGCTGGAGGTGTTGTGAATCAGAGATGTCCTCTGTGGTCTCTGACTCTCCTAGCAGCCTCTCACTGAGGTTCAAGTGTAGACTATGAGGCTTGAAATTCCTGATGTTTCATCCGCAGGAGCCAAAGCTCACTAAAGCCCAGATATCCTCCTCTCAGTTTGTGGTGCGTATCTTCAGAATACCTTTCCTGTTTCTGAATTTTGGGAGAAGTTTCTACCTTTCAGTGACTCAACCATACCCTAGTTACAAGGAAGGCAAACCAGGAAATGATTTAAATCCCCAAACTATTCAAAATTGGGATCTGATTATTTCACCCAATTTACCACTCAGATTTCAACCCGCCAGCACACCCTGGATTTGCTGCTCAAAGAACCGAAATGCCCTAGAAATAAATGCTAGTCCTCAAAAAGCATCCTTGAAAGTAGATAGTAAGTAGAGGAGAGAAGGAAGACATACATTTTCAATCTCTTAGAAGTAAATATGAACTTGACACGTAGATTTCTTCTTTGGCAGTAGCTCTGTTGTGCAATAAGGCCTAGTTCCACTGCTCTCTCTGCTCTTGTAGATAATCATAGAGGGGATTGGGAGTAATCACTGCCTTGGTAGGGTGACTTCCACCCTCTTCTCTTCTTTGGGGCCTCCCATGGCTACCGTGTCTTCCCTGGGAGCCTTGGCTCTGGTCATCCTCATTCATGCAGTAATTTTCTCTGTTAGCATAGCCTCGCTGGGTTCCATGGGATTGTCGATCCTGGGACTCTTGATCTCTTTCTTTCTTCTCATGGGTTTGCCTATCTCGTTGTGGCTGACGGTTTTGATCTTCTTCATGAGGTTGCTTATCTTGTCTCTGGTGCTTCTGCTCATCTTCATGGGTTTTCCTGCCCCGTGTCTGATGGTTTTGTTCCTCTTCATGGGTTTTCCTGTCCCGTTTCTCACCCTCATGACCACGTCTACCCCCAATTTGGTGATCCTTCTCTTTCTCTGCCTGGTGGCTCTGCCCCTCACCACGACTCTCCTTGGTCTGGGCCTCTCTGTGACCCTGCTCACTACTGCGTGATTGCCTCTCACTCCCTTTGTGAGGGTGTGGCCTTTCTTGCTGAATTGGTGCCATGAGTTTGTGTTGGTGGTGTTGGCTATCCTCCTCAGGCTCCCATGCCTGGTGACTGTTCTGTTGCTCTACCCTAGACTGAAATCTCTGTCCCTGATTTTGGTTCACTTTTTGTCCATGAGTCTGTTGACTGGGTTTTCCTGACCTTCCTGATTGCTCAACATGTGAGCCTCTGCTTGTTCGCTCATTCCCCTGGAAGCACCTATTTTGCCCAGTTTCCCCAGGTTCTGACTGACTGCATTGAGAGCTCAGGCCTTGCCTTTCTGCCTGACCATAGTGAGAAATCTGGCCTTGTCTGCCTGCCTGTCCGTAGTGGGAACTCTGGCCTTGTCTGTCTGCCTTACCATAGTGGGAACTCTGGATTTGTCTGTCTTCCTGACCATAGTGGGAACTCTGCCCTTGTCTGTCTGCCTGACCATAGTGGGAACTCTGGCTTTGTCTGTCTTCCTGACCATAGTGGGAACTCTGGCCTTGTCTGTCTGCCTGACCATAGTGGAAACTCTGGTTTTGTCTGTCTTCCTGACCATAATGGGAACTCTGGCCTTGTCTGCCTGCCTGTCCATAGTGGGAACTCTGGCCTTGTCTGTCTTCCTGATCATAATGGGAACTCTGGCCTTGTCGGCCTGCCTGTCCATAGTGGGAACTCTGGCCTTGTCTGTCTGTCTGGCCATATTTAGAGACTGGGCCTTGTCTGTCTGCCTGTCCATAATGATAACTCTGGCCCTGTCTGTCTGCCTGACCATAGTGGGAACTCTGGTCTTGTCTGTCTGCCTGGTCATATTGAGAGATTGGACCTTGTCTGTCTACCTGACCATAGTGGGAACTCTGGCCTTGTCTGCCTGTCTGGCCATATTGAGAGACTGGGCCTTCTCTGTCTGCCTGTCCATAATGATAACTCTGGCCCTGTCTATTTGCCTGACCATAGTGGGAACTCTGGTCTTGTCTGTCTGTCTGATCATATTGAGAGATTGGACCTTGTCTGTCTACCTGACCATAGTGGGAACTCTGGCCTTGTCTGCCTGTCTGTCCATAGTGGGAACTCTGGCCTTGTCTGTCTGCCTGTCCATAGTGGAAACTCTGGCCTTGTCTGTCTGACTGGCCATGTTGAGAATCAAAGTCTTGCCTGTCTCTCTGATGATAGCCTGATTCCTGATCCAGGCTTGCAGAATTCCCATAATAAGAGCCTGATTCCTTTTGGTTTCTTTGGCTACAGCACGAATCCTCTCTAAATCTTCTAGGCTGGCCTTGTTGTTGTCTAAGCCTTTCAGACCAGCCATTATGAGAATCCTGAACTTGTGTCTCATACTGATTCAAAGCAAATAAATGTCCTTCTCTTTTATTCTGGTCATTGCTAGATTTATGATTCAGTTTTTGATCAGAGCTGGAGTCCTGACCTTGCCTTTCAGATTGACCATGGTGGGAGTCCTGACCCTGTCTCTCATTCTGACCATGGTGGGACTCCTGACCCCGTCTCTCAGTCTGACCAGAGTGGGAATCCTGACCCCGTCTCTCATTCTGACCAGGGTGGGAATCCTGACCCCATTTCTCAGACTGACCACGATGGGAGTCCTGACCCCATCTCTCAGACTGACCATGGTGGGAGTCCTGACCCCGTCTCTCAGACTGACCATGGTGGGAATCCTGACCCCGTCTCTCAGAATGACCATGGTGGGACTCCTGACCCCGTCTCTCAGACTGACCATGGTGGGACTCCTGACCCCGTCTCTCAGTCTGACCATGGTGAGACTCCTGACCCCATTTCTCAGACTGATCATGGTGAGACTCCTGACCCTGTCTCTCAGACTGACCATGGTGGGACTCCTGACCCCATTTCTCAGACTGATCATGGTGAGACTCCTGACCCTGTCTCTCAGACTGATCATGGTGGGAGTCCTGCTTTTCTTTCTCATGCCTCTGCCTATGTTGTCTGCTTGTATTTCCTGGAAAGCTATGGTCTTGTGTTCCCTCCTGCTCTCCTTCTTGCTGGGAGGTTCTATCTCCACATGACTTATTTTCCTCCTTATGATAGCAAGCTTGGACCAACTGAAACACCAGCAAGAGAAATTCATTAAAATCAACATGTCCATTTCTGTCTCTATCCAAGAGGTTCAGGATGGTTTCCACAGTCTCTGGGTCAGTTGGTCTCTGTGGGAAGAAAAACAGAGAGAAAAATCAGATGTTCTCCTGTGGACATTAAGATGTGTGCCCGGGTTCATGCCCCAGTCCATTTAGTTTGAATGAACCTTCCTTGTGTGAGAAGCCATTAATCTGAAGTGGCTTAGGCTTGGTTCTAGTCTTTGGTCAGCTTCTTCGTAGAACCTCATCCCTTCCTGACTCATTGGAGGGAGCAGGACTATGGGGAGTAGATATATTTATTAAAATCAGCTCCCTTCATAATGAATTTGGGGAAGCTGTCCCACCCCATCATATGATAGTTGCTTGTTTATCAACATTTTCCCAACCACAGTGTGAGCTCCTGGAGGGAGTGAACGCTATCTTTATCTATGTTTGTATCCTTAGTGGCTAGTATGATGCTGGTATGGAGAAAGTGCTTAATGACTCTTTGTTGAATGAGAAAATGTGTGGACAGCTTTAAAATATAGAATCTAAGATATTAATCTAGATTTCTTCTGAGAAATTATTTTCAGTTCAAAGTACTACTTCCTTCTGTTTGAACTCAGATACAAGTAAATGTGTGTGTGTGTGTGTGTGTGTGTGTGTGTGTGTCTGAGCATTCCTATGCACACATGTCTATGTGCTGGGAGCAAGCTTCTAAGGAGATACCTGTAACTCTCTTGGTTCCAGGGTGGAGCATGACCAAAGAAAACAAAAACTAAGCCCTAAATGCAGGTTTCAGAGTCACACACACTTGACTCCATGGGATCCAGACTCTATGCATCTTACCCGGAGGATGTTTCCAAACTCAGCCAAGAGCAGCTGCTTCAACTCCTTCTTGCTCAGCAGAGCACAGTCCCCATCCTCTTTAGCATATTTCTGGAACACCTTGATCACTGTGAGTATGCTGTTCAGGAGTGCAGCCATTTTGGCAAAGACAGGTAAACCTAGAAGAAGAAAAAAGATTTTTTGTCTGTGTTTAGGATGAAGCCCAGGAGACAGCACTTTCAAAGGGAAAGTGGCCCCTCTTGGTCAGGGACAGAGCTTCTCCTTAGCCATACCCCTGACCCCCTTTGACTCATAGTCTGGCTCCAAATATCATACAATGGGAGAAGGGCGCAGACTATGGGTTACCTGCTAGAAAAAAATGGCTATTTCCTAGAACAACAACAAAAAATATACAATAGGTGTTTCACATGCCCCATCTTCTACTCTGGATGGGACTTGCTTAACTGAAATTCTCATATTAGAACAAAAGGGAAAGATAGTCAGGAAGCCTATGAGACAGGACCAAAGCCAGTGTCATGAAGCATAACTTTGCACCAATGACTAGCATGCTGAACGGGGCACTGCATTGACCTCACTGCAGGTCTCAGTATCCTAATGAGTGGGGAAGAAGGCTAGAGGTCTCTTGCCATGGCCAAGGAAACTTTCTGGGAGACTAAATTCCAGTAAGCACTTCTGGCCTGGATGATCACTTTGGATATGATTATAAAATAGAATCAGTAAAGCCCTAACGGGTTTGGCTCAGTGGATAGAGGGTTGGCCTGGTGACTCAAGGGTCCCAAGTTCAATTCTAGTCAAGGGCATGTACCTTAGTTGAGAGCACATCCCTAGTAACGGGTATGCAGGAGGCAGCTAGTTGATGTTTCTCTCTCATCGATATTTCTAGCTCTCTCTCCCTTTTCCTTCCTCTCTATAAAAAAAATCAATAAAATATATTTTAAAAAATAGAATCAGGGAATACAAAACTGCTACAGGTGAAATAGCAAGCCAAATGAACTGCATAGATGATGGGAAGTCTGATGCAATCAGAGAAGTTCACATTGGCCATGCTAAGAGGCAAAGGGTCTTTGGGGATCTGGATCTCAAAGCTATTTCCTCTTACATTGCAAAAATCCCAGTTACTGGGCTTAGAAGCTTTCAAACAGAAACCCTAACTGCAAAGCACATTGGACTTCCAACAGCATGCAACGATGCTTGTATGGATAAGTGGCAAATAACAAATCGCATGGGACTCGCTGAGTCCCTAGTGTCGATTCATTGCAATGAGGCTTGAATATTATCTGGCCTTGTTCCTGATGAGCTCTAAACTCTCGGGTCTTGCCTAACATGCACAAAAGGAAAATTGTCCACTAGGGGAGACTAAGCAAACCTCCAATAGTTCTAGCCCTTGATTTTAGAAAACCTAGGACATACTGTAAAAAGAAAAGCATATATCTTCATAGCCTCAGAAGTAGGCAATCCTAGCTATGATCATATTCTCAGATAGAGCCAAGAAAATGAAGCAGGAGGGTACCCAAGGCTATCACCCTCAGAGAGTAGCTTCAGACCTCTCCAGACCAGAACATCACAGCCACCCACCATCAGGAGCCTCGTGAATACTGCCATTGCTCCCCCATGCATGTCTTACCTGTGTAAGGAGGAATGAGCAGGAGGTCGAGAAGCTGAAGAGGATATTGGAGGCCTGAAAACCCATCCTATTTATAGGGGTTTTAATTGTCCTACGAGGCCATCTCAGGAGACACCCATTCTGTGGCAGAGCCTGAATCACCCTGGACCCAGTCCAGCGTGGCCTCTCCCTCTCCAAACCGTTTAGTTGATTTACTTCCCCCACTTGCTCATGAACTTGTTTGTCAATATAGGTGACACGGTTCAAGTCCCAGCCCCATTTAATTAGGGAGTGTGTATGTGTGCGTGCATGCTGTGGGGGTCTGAAAAGACAGAGGTGTTCATCCTTAAGATGTGTCACTTACCAAGACTAATGGAGGATAATAGTCAAATCATACCAAAGAAGATTAGCAATGTGTTCACGTTACAAAAATCCGTCAATGTAGGGACTAGAGTTTCTGGGTATAGGGCCTGGATATAGTTCCTGGAAGAGATTTGTCCTATGACCTATGCTAATGTCCTGCTTGTGTGTATTTTAATCTATTGACCTATTTTGAGTTAAAAAATTTTTAACAGCTCTTCAGGTTAGTGGGGGCAGTAGATATATGACTGATTGCGGGGAGAAGGGCTGTGATGATGGTGTTGCTACCATCACTTGAACCTTTTAAGGTTTTACCAAAAAGTTAGAAGTTAGCATCTGGCCAGCGTGGCTCAGTGGTTGAGAATTGACCTATGAACTTGTAAGTACCAGTCAGGGCACATGCCCTGGTTGCGGGCCCCAGTGTGGGGCATGCTGGAGGCAGCTGATCAATAATTCTCTCTTATCATTGATGTTTCTATCTCTCTCCCCCTTTTCCATCCTCTCTGGAATCAATAATGCACTTTTTTTTTTTTTTTAAAGTTAGAATTTAGGAACAACGTGGGAGCTTATACTATTTGTGAGTAGAGATGCGGTCAGACACCTGGGCCTACAGTCATTCCCCGCCTCTGCACCTGTGACATCACCAATGTCTTAGGCATAGGAGAGTCAGAGTAAATCTTGGTGGAGTAAGTGAATTATTGGTTAGAAAAGCATTTGGGAATTTTGTGTAAAATGCAAAGAATTCGAGATTTGCTGAAGTTTCTATTTTTAAAAATATATATATTTTATTGATTTTTTACAGAGAAGTAGGGAGAGGGATAGAGAATTAGAAACATCGATGAGAGAGAATCATCAATCAGCTGCCTCTTGTACATCCCTTACTGGGGTAACCATGCTCGCAAACAAGGTACACACTCATTGACCAGAATTGAACCTGGGACCCTCCAGTCTGCAGGCCAACGCTCTATCCATTGAGCCAAACTGGTTTCAGCTGTACTTTCTATTTTTGTTTCTGGTTGTACTTTTTTCTATGTAACCATCCATCCATCAGTTAGTAGAGCTTGGGATTCTGCAAGGGAACCACAAAAGTGCATAGAGATTTTAATCCAGTTAGAGTAGAGAAGTTTTATGTAGAAGAAAGATTTTGAATGCCAGGAACAGAACACGAGGAGTGTTGAGTGTTGGAAAACCTGGTATGTATGGAATGTTCATACATACCCAGGGGTTGGGCCCAGACTTCCCTTAGAAAGTGGGATTTGTGTTGGTCCCTAAAGGATTCAAGTGGGCAGAAAGGAAAGAAGAGAAATTCTGGTGGGGAGAAGAGAAAGATCAAAGAGACAAAGGTGAGAATTTAGAGGGTATGTTTGGATTAGAGTGAGTTGGTAAATCTGGCTGGAGCAGAGGGTATACAGGAGAACAGATATAGAGAATTTTTGAGCTGAACAGGAAATATAGTCTTAGCCTCCTAATTTTACAGATGAGGAAACTGAAGCCCAGCTAGATTGAATGATTCCCAAGCGTCCGACAGGGTTATGACTAAAGCCTGGCCTTTTACCCCATCCCACCATGCTTTCTCATAAATTCTCTGAGGCGGACTTGCAGTCTGTTTTAGGGTTTATTTTAATGAGAAATGGGAAGCAGGTACCATTTGGGTCAGGAAAGTGACAAGATAAAAGCATTGTTTGGGGGAAGATTTTGATTTGACTGCAGTAGGGTGGCCAGCTGTCTCAGCTGGGACTGAGGAACTTCCCCGGAGGTGAGACTTTGAGAGCGAAAACTGGGAGGATTCTGGGCAACTTGGAATAAATTGGTCATCCCGGACTGTGAAATATAAGACGCATTGGAAAGAGCCCTGTCTGAGCAGGGAGGCCCGTTAGGAATCTCTTGTAGAGCCATGTGTGGAGTGTGGATGCAGCAGTACATAACCATGGGAAGGTGCTGGGTGATCGAGGAAAAGAAAGGGTGGGGGTTGGGGAGATTCGATGAGGGGCAGGGAAGGGGAGAAGTCAGGAGAGACTCCAAGGCTTTAAGCCTAGAAAACTAGGAGAGCTGTGGTGTCCTGAAGAAATGCAACTCCTGAGGGGCTCTATGGGGTCCGCTCACCCCACCCCCACTGGCACTCCACAGGGTGTCTGCCTGTCTGGTCACCTTCCTGCCAGTTTGCACCCAATGTTGTCTGGGGTCTCCTAGCCCTGGGAAGGCCTTGCTTAGATGTGTTTATACATCCTGAGAGCCGGGAACCTGGGGGCTCCTTTCTGTGGATGTCTCTCAGGGCTCCCTAGCAGCTGTAAGGGAGAGGGAGAGAGAGATAGAAATGTCAATGCTGAGAGATAATCATTGACCGGCTGCCTCTTGCATGCCCCACACTGGGAATCAATCCCACATGTGCCTTGACCTGGAATTTAACTGTGACCTCCTGGTTTATAGGTCGATGCTCAACCACTGAGCCATGCAGGCCGGGCGAAGCTTTTTTATTTTTATTTTGGCATTGACATGCTAAGATTCTGGGATTCCAATCTTAGGTGAGCAGGGGCTTTCGAGGGTATATTATGACTGCTCTATTCACGAATTTGAAAGAGGCCTCAGAACTTTGTGCTCCTGTCTTCCTCTGTGGGAAACAGAAGGACAATAATGGGCACCCTGTTACTTAGCATTTTGAAGCTCTGGGCTGTGTTTTGCTGCCTTTTGCATTCATGTTAGAATGTAGCCCTGTGATCACAAAGGCTAGATGTTTTTAAGCTACAATTTATTGATCTTACTATGTAGGGTAGGCTGTATGTTAAGCCTTTTCGCATATGTTAGCTTGTTTAATTCCCACAGCAACTTTAGGAGGCAGGCAATATTATCGTCAGGTTCCTAACAAGGAAACTGAAGTTTAGAGAAAGATAAGTAGCTTGCTCAAGGCCATGCCACTTGGCACAGCTGAGCTGGGGTTTGAATCCACCACTTCCCGATTCCAAAGCCCTTGTTTGCAACACCTGTGTTACACAGCTTCCTCTGGAACAGAACTGGCCAGTGCCCACTTCCCAATGAGAGCATCAGCTCTTTGCCAAGGCTGACACGTGTAAGGAGATAACTTCCTAATGACAGACGGCGAAGGAATCCAGCCTTGGGATGAGAGCCTCCTGTTGCACAAGCTCTCAAATATTTATTATTTTCCTGTGCTTCTCTGGGA